GACGATGGCCTGCAGCACCTCCTGGTTGTGGTCCGCACACTGGCCGATCCGGTCCAGGTTGGACAAAACGTGTGGCAGCAGATTCTGGTGGTGCTGCGGAAGACTCTGAAACTGACGCTCCGCGCGTTTGACCTGCTCCTGAACATGGATCCTGGCAGGAAGACACAGAGCTGAGACTCAGGCTTCACTAGCTACACTGATCACCATAACCATACTGTGCACAAGGTTCACTTTTTTTCTCTTTCACTGTATTTAAGTGTGTTGTGAGCAGTGTGAAAGGCAGAAAGGGCTGATCAAAAGAGGTCAAATGCAGCGAGCAGAGTTGGTTCAAAAGTAGGTGTCGCAATTTAACGTTTAAATACAGTTTAAACACATCAGTAAGCCTTTTTTTTCTCTTTAGACTTGGTGTTCTTCTCTATGCTATTATTTGCTAACACTGCCATGTATTGACACAAAACACCCGCGGCCTGTCTTTATTTCAAAAAACCTTTTCATACCTGTAATATCTAAAAGCATCAATTATTCTCCAGAAATGTTTCCTTTCCAGCCTGGCCTCCTCCTCCGGGCTGTATTTTATTCTTTCTTTTATATAATGTGGTCCACCTTTAGCTCCTTCTTGTCCTGTTGTTTCAGCCATATCTTGAAAAAAAAAAAAAACCTTCACATCCAATCAAAGCGAGGCAAACTTCTTCTTCTTCTGATTGGTTTTCAGCGCAGCAGACTCTACGATGCGCAGTGCTGCCACGTAGCGTCAGGTGACTAAACTACACTTTGTCTTTAAAAAAATCTATAAATTAACAATTTATTTTAAATAAATACAATAAATAAATACAATATTATACAAATATAAAATAAATACAGACAATAATGCAACTCAGCTCAGTAAAAGCATTCTGAACTCAACTCAGAAAACTTACTCTGTTGGTAAGAGCCTAATCCCTGCTGGCATGAACCTTTCAAGAGAATAAATAAAATGTATTTAATGTAATAACATGTAATAAACGCTATTTGTACTCACAGTCAAATTAAATGTGAAATATTGAAATGACTATTTAGTCTTTTCAGTCTTTTTTGACATAAAGTGCAATAGTGCATGACTTGATAGTTTAAGATGTATGCATCTTTATCTCACGCCTTTTTTGGTTTTCCATGTGCCTGGCCCAGAGGTTTCCAAGTGTGTTAGTGCAAAATCTATGCATGTTACACAATAACGCATCATTATTAATAAAGATGATTGAAAACATGCTATATTATTGTTTACCCCTGAGAAAAGCTGATGCTGGGAATCCTGTTGTTTGTATTTTATCTTCTACTTGTCAAAAACAGGTAGAACAATACTAAAACCATGCAGTCATAAAAGAAGAGACATGACAAGTGAGTGTTTTTTGTTTTTGTTTTTCTGAGTATTTTATGTTTACTGCAACAACCGTGGAAGAACACAAAGCATTTCCTCCATCAGATGTTTGGGTTAATAATCTTTCCCATGAAAACAATGTTTTCTGTGTTACGCTCAGTGATGATGACCATAAATGGGCGGTTAAACTTCAAGACCGGGACAATCCGGAGGGAGTAGGGGACGATACCGATGCCTGTAGCAGCTGCTGCTGTGGCTCCAGCCTCATCAACATCCAGGGTGGCTTGGTGTACCACCTACAGCGCAGTGGAGTGAGAAACATGTGAGAGGATTGAATAAAAGGGAGAAATGTGTGTTTAATAACACTGTCCTTACCTCTGAGACTGCCAGTTTATGCCCCTCTGAAATACCGGTCAGATTTGCACTATCACGAAACATGTCTGCCATTCCCATTTCAGTCAGCACTTTGTTCAGTTTGTAGGAAGTCTTGATGGAGAACTTTGGCACATATATGTTGTATCTCCTAAAAATTGTGAAAGGAATCAATAGTATTGATATTCATCCGGCAAGCATATTCAGGGTATGACAAAATATTTTTACTCTTCTTGAATTCTTAGTTTTTGCATGTTTGTCACACTTCTGTTTCAGATTATCAAACAAATTTTAACATCAAACAAAGATAACCTGAGTGAATGCAAAATGCAGTTATTAAAGGATAATTTCTTTTATTAACAGAAAAAAAGCTACCCAAACCTGCCTGCCCCTGTGTCATAAACTGCCCCTCCTTGTTAAAACATGAATTTACTGTGATTAACCACACGATTAAACACAATTTCATAAGCCACAGCCAGGCCCGATTACTGCCAGACCTGTTGAATCAAGAAATCACTAAAATAAAAACAGTCTGACAAAGTGAAGCTAAAAGATCTCAAAAAGCAATACATCATCTAAAGAAACTGCTGGAAAACTAAGTCAGTGACACCTATCAGTCTGGAAATAGTTACAAAGTTTTTCCAAAAAGTAAATAAATCTTGATGATCCCCAAGTATTTCAGTACGTGGACTGACATGACAAAGCTGAAGTTTTTGGAAGGTTTGAGTCCTGTTACGTCTGGCGTAAAACTAAGACCGTGTCCATGAAAAGAATATCATAGCAACAATGAAACATGGTGGTGGCAGTGTGATGGTCTGAAGCTGCTCTCCTGTTTCAGCATCTGGGAGACTTCCTGTAATTGGTCGAACCATGAGTTCTGCTCTCTACCAGAAAAGTCTGGGGGACAATGTTTTGCACCCTGAAGAGTTATGCAGCAGACGATCATCTGAAACACACGAACTCAAATCCACCTCTGATTGGCTCCAAAAAAACAAAACAACATAAAGGTTTTGGAGTGGTCAAGTTGAAGTAAGGATTTCATGTTTTTAAAAAAAACCCTCCAATGTGTTTGAGAGTGGGCCAGAATCCCTGCAAACGCCTGACTGCACCTTGTGCTGCCAAAGGTGGCCCAAGCAGTTATTAGGTTTAGAGGGGAATTACGTTTTCACATAGGGATGGGTGGGAATCGGTAGTTTTTTCCACTTCATAAATGAAATCATCATTTAGAAACTGCATTTCATTTTTACTCCAGCTTTCTTTGTTTAATCTTAAAAATTTTAAGTATATGTAAATATGATGGACGTGTCTAAACCAAGAAATTAAGCATGATTTGAAATTCTACCCAACCTCTGCTTCTTCCATTTCAGCCATTTGTTGACTTGGCCCGGGCTAATGGCGTTCTCCAGCGTTGCCATATTATCAGGCAACATCAGCAGCATGGAGTGGGTGCCGTTGAAGGGGAGATGGAGGACTGTTGTGTTAATGAGCTTGTCATCATAAATATCAACATCCTCTTTCATATTCATCATCTGGACTGGAACCTGGAAATGTGACAGTTTATTGGAAAACAGGTTGAATTAGGCGCAGTGATGTATAATTATTCCAACTAATCTCCGTTCTGAATCAGCTGCTTGAACCTGAACGTTCTCCGCATGGAAATGGTCGTCTGTGGTGCCCTGAGGATCGAACGGAGTCTCCCACTTTCCTGTTTTGCGGTTATAAGCAGAAATAAATCACACGTTACAGATGACACATCAAACTTAAACCTTGGAATAAAAGAGAGACCAGCCAAATCTCATCTCAGTTGACCTCTTACCTTTAAAGTATATGTAGCTGATGAGATACATGACTGTGTTTACATCCAGGCTCTCAACCAGCTTGTCAATCTTCCCATTGGTCTTGGTCTCCACATAATTGTTGATGGTATTGACACTCTCCGTGGCTTGGGTGAAGTCAACATTAAACCCTTCGGCAAAATAGGACTGCTTCAACACCTCCAGGAACTCGGGTTGCGGCTTAAAGCGGTTGTCCACGAACACGGCAGTCCCCTCACTGGTGTCACCACTCTTTGCGTTTTGCAGGAGCGTACGGAAGGACTGATCTACATCTGCTTGCATGAGCTGGGAACTGTTGAAACCTAGACCACTGAAAAGCTGCTGGTGGGTCTCCCCCCGAGCTCCTACGGACAAGGCAGCCAAGGCAGTAGAAATACTGACTGGTGAGAAGAAGATGTTTTTGCCTTGAAAGTCGGCATGAGCTGCTAACTTTCTGTACAGACGGAAGGCAAACTCTTTGTTTGCTGTGGACACCTGTGAGAGGCTGCTGTCAGTTTCTTGGTCTTGATCGGCATGGCCCAAATGGTGATGGCCTCTACCCATGCAGAACACTGCTGATAAGATCCAGATAGCCAAGGCTGCATGCATCATGGTCAACTGAGACAAAAGTTCACAATCGATTGCTTGTTCATGTGGGTTATGCAATATTTGCTCCTGAAAACAGTCAGTTTTGCTCTTTCGTACTGTGAACTGAGTTTCTGACCAACACGCTATGCTGCAACAGTTTTTGCTAAATTCCCAACAAATTTCTGTGTTTCTTTATCTCCTCACTCATTTGAAGCAGAGGGGCCAGATTTAATCCCTAATGTTGCCTATCAGAATTTACTTACGTACATTAAAATCCAAATTGGCTGTTTTGTGTATGGGCTGGTTAAATCTGTTTATAGACGTCATGATACTTAGCTGCAAATATTCAGCGTCATTAAGAAGAGCTTAAAATCAAAGTTACAACTTACAGTCTACAGATGTTACATATTAAAGATAACCGTGCATCTGATGGCGGGACAGTTAAACATGCTATTAAAAAAAACATATCGCTTACCTTCTTCTGGTTGGAGCTCACTGTATGTATTATCAGCCACAGAGAGTGAAGCTGGACAGAGGGAGACCTTCTATTTATGAGGACGATCAGGCCGAACTTTGACTTTGTTTGCTCTTTGTCTCAGCCTCTTACTTGCTCAACCTCTGCATTTGTTCCGTGCAATGACTCCCCTGTAATCATGGCATCAAACTGAGTTCACACAAAATGCACAGAAAAGCCATTGTTTGTTAACGCAGGGGTACAAAAAAATGCCATAGGTGATCACTAATCACCAGCTGTGCTGTACAGTATAGCAGTTGAACTTTGATATCACCCTGTCAACACTGATGTCAGAGAGAAATGTTTCTCTGTTGTGCAATGAAACACTAAAACACTTTTGAAAAGTTAATTTCTTTATTTATGCAACAGCTATTGGTCGAGTTAAAATTTCAGTGCAGTGCTGAAAAACACATTTAATATTTGGCCACCATGGAGCCACATTACTGTGCAAAGGTCTTGAGGTGCCCATTATTTCTTAGTATTTTGTTGGGAAAACAGTTATTGAAACAAATGCAAAAATACATGTTAATACACTATATAAGGCAAAACAGAGCTTAACAAAGCTTGAATGCTAATATTTGGTATGACTACCTTTACTCTTCAACACAGCCTGAACTGTCTTAGGCTGCTTTCTTGCGTTTTCTGTAAGTAGTCTTCAGAAATAGCGCTTCATGCTTCTTGAAAGACCTTCTTTGTTCTGTTCTCTGTCAAGATGATCCCATACTGCTTCAATAACGTTGAGTCTGCATGACTGACAGTATTGCATTGTGTGTTTTTCTGTCCAGGTAAGTTCTGACTGTGGCGGAAGTGTGTTTGTGATCATTGTCATGCTGAAAAATGAAGCATTAACAAACCAAATGCTTTCCAGATGATATTACATAGTGGGTCAAAATCTGATGTCACTTTTCTGTGTTCATTGGTTTTGACAAGATCATCAACACCACTGTCCTAAATGAATGTCCAAACCATGACAGCAACTCCATCGTTTTTCTCAGCTCTCTAGTGTGCCTCTCTCCTGACCTTCCTCATACATACTGGCAACAATTTGAACCCAAAATTTCAAGTTTGGATTCATTCCATAAGACTTGTTGCCACTGATATTCAGTACAGCTCTTGAGTAATTTGGCAAGAATTAAAAATGGCATCTTAACAGATCTCAGCCTTCCAATGAGAACATTTCTGATGAGGCTTCAGCGAATAGTAGATGGATCACCTGAAGTGCCCAAAACATAAATCGGGTCAGGATTTGTTCCTTTTTCCACAGACAATGACTTTCAGATGCTGCATCTGCTGTAGATAGCTTTTTGTATTTTTGGCCTGGCACTTCTCCTTTAGTTCTCACACTGGTCCATTCATTGAGTTAGGTGCCTTTTTTATACTGAAGTGATCCATGAGTCAGTGTTAAATGGCTTAACAACATTAGAAAAAAACAACAACAACACATTCCTCTGAAAATGGTCAGGTAGAAGCGGCCGATGTCCAAAGAAAGAGCTTCAGAAAGCCTACAGAACTATTGATCAAGACCACGTTTAAAAATTACGAAAAAGGTTTGGTTCCTCGAAAGCGGCATATAAAGAAATCGGTGGTGGCTCAAAACTTTTCCACAATATTTATGTAAATTAAGCTGACTGCTAAACATCTTGTAAAACATCAGTCCATTTAACATGTACAAATGTAATGTTTTTATCTTAACGTTCATAACAATGAAGACCAAAGAAAGGATCACATGCTGTAAGACCCCAAAGTAAAACGCAAGAAATCTTTCATGCAACACATCATCTTGACATTAAAGATCAATCTTCTGGACCCGTGAAAGGTGACTAGTAATGCTGTTAGACGGGTTTCAGCGATGTTTGCCAAAGAGCTGCTCGTCCAGTTTGATGAGCTGTCGAAGGAAACCTCGGTTAGGAATCACACCACGGCTCTCTTTCACAGCACAAATAGCCTCGACGAGAGTGAGGTTCTGCTTCAGCATCAGGTAAGCCAGGACCAGGGTGGCAGAGCGGCTCACTCCTACATGACAGTGGACCAGCACTTTGCCTTCACAGAGAAATATTAGATTAAATTCCACACATCAAATCCATTTGCCTTTGAACTGTATTTATATCATTTTTAACTTTCTCCTCTTACCTCCTCTGCTCAGACCTCTATGGATAAAGTCTGCTGCTGCCTGGAAGTTGACACTCATGTCATAGTTACAGGAGTCATGAGCCTCTACGCCCATGTAGGTGATCTTCATTCCCTCATAGATATCTGGTTGTCCCTTACGATTACTGTGAGCTGCGTTCAGGATGTGAGTGATGTGATTCTTGTACAAATCAGCCTGGTTCTCTGCACTGTGTCTGGAAAACACACCACTCTGTATTCAGACAGTAGGTTATACGGCATGTATGCAATATTTCATCGTGATAAACTGATCCTTAGAAAAACACTTTAAGCATGCGAGTTCGAACATTCGAGACGTGCTTTCATGCCAAGGCATCAGTGCAAACGCTTACATGGCGTTGTTGTAGTTTATGCAAGTTCCCACTGTGGAACGCAGCAGGACAAGTGTCACGTTACTCATTCTGCATTTGAATCAGATTTATGATCAGCTCCTCTTTCACGTATGTGGAGTGAATCCAGGACTTTTATTGATTTATTTGAGTATTTTTACTAAAAGTATCAGATGACTCTCTCAACACAAGAAAAACATTTGGAGATTTAGAAGTCAGGAAGTTTCCTGAGTCATAATCTCAATTTGAATCTGCTGTATATAAGTAAATACTGACGCTAGAGGAATAGGTGCAGTTAGATTATGTCAGAGTTCATCAAAAGAAATAAAGAGGAGTTACTTACTGGTCACCAATGTACAGCCTAGGCCACACTTCATCTGCATGACTGATTATGGCTTTGCCAGTATACAAGAGTTTTTCCAACTCAAACACAGCTAATCCAGGTGAACTCAGGTCAATTTCCAATTTCCGCGGAGGCGGCTCTGCATTCCACCACACAGGAAGTTTTGATGTATAGGACATTGCTTTTTCTGTCGACATGGCAATTTTATCTTTTGTAATGGTTTGTTAAGGGTAGGCAAAAAGTTTAAAAGGTGAAAAGGTTATGGAAGAGTTTGCCGAGACTACCTTTTACAGCTTCGCTGATGAAGAAAACTGCAAACAGACTATTCCACAGTTGGTCGTCTGTAACCAGTGACTCAAGTGGAGCAGGCTTGTTTGGCTCAGATTCACACACCGGAGGGTGTCCTGTGTGTTGTCAGGCCATTTGACCCTTGAATTAAATTAGACTGCACTTGGAGCCATCATGGGCGGACATTAATGCTTTTGCGTCCAAATAGCTGTCTATTTAAAGAGCTCAATGCAGGCCTGCAGCTGAAGGCAGTGTGACCTCCAAGCACCAGTTTCTACTTGAGAAAAATAAGCAGCCTTCTCATTTTTAAAACAGAACAACATTTAGAAATGTTGTATGACTGATACCTAAACCGTCTGATATTCATGTGTGTTCGGTAAAGGCAAAGCAAAAACTAATTTGATCAAGAGTTAAAAAATATACTGACATTTAATCATTTTTCTGCCCCCCCCTCCCACATTTCACTTGTGATCTTTTCACCGTTTATCAGGCAAAATTCCCCATCCTATGTTGGAAACATGCATTACATCTAAAACTACACAGCGAGTTGCATTTGAGCAGAAGGGGAAATAAACACACAGAAAATGATTTTCTTTTCCATGCAAACCTTGTGATATTTTTATATTTTTTTTCTCCTAATTATATAAAACCCATCCTCTTAAATATGGCACTTTTTGCTAAAACACATCAAGAATGTCTGAGGAGGGAAAAACAAAACAAAACATACACACGATAATGGACAGTGATGCGCACACAAAAATCAGTTTGATATAAACATAGATTTGTCCTCATTATCAAAAGGACAGAAAGAAAAACATTTAATCCAACCTTGTCCTTCAGCATAAAACATGACTGAAAATGTTCAAGTAGAGATTTCAGTTTTATATATATATATTTGAATGTTCAAAGATGGAGAAAAGGAACAGCTTGTCCAGTCATACTTAATCAAGTCTTTATCAGTGAGTCAAGTGAAACACATGGCATTCATATGTAGGTCTGATTCTAGGTCTTCATCAAAAAAAGATGAAATAATTGGGAACAGCAATCTTCTGGGGGATTTTCACTAATCTGCTACACTCAAGGCCCAGTTCTGAGCTCTGAGATATCATGATTGTATCAAGTGCCTATCTGACATTACAGTGCATGCAGGGCTTAAACTGAGTGAGAAAAAAAAAAAAAAAAAAAAAAGAAAAGACAAAAGAAATCACTGCACCTACAGAGGCGGAGGCATGGAGAGGTACGTGGCTATGGACAAAATGCATTTACTCCATTAGGTGAAAGCACAATTTCCTGATCATGCAAAGGGACCGTGAGATGAAACGACAGCCTGCTAAAGAAGTGCAAGAGCTGATACACTTTGGATCAGACTGAAACTGACCCACATTCCTGAGGGACAGCGTGATGATAATCTGCGTCCTGACTCAGAGACAACAGAGAGCTGCAATGTGGCACTACACAAGTTCATCTTCCAGTGACTCGCTCCTGCTTTTGCAGCTGATAGAGTCACTCACTGAGGCTGACGCAGATAACCATGAGCTTTCACGTCTAATACCACCATACCTTTTATACCAGCATTATTAGGCTTTAAAGTTTGAGTCCACGTGCCAGTAACTGCTGTGTCTTTTTCTTTGGTCCATGCCACCTTTCACAGGTGTTCTATAGTAACATGGTGGTGGGGAGAAAAAAAAAAAAAAAAATCCCTACAACACTGGTCAGCAAAAGACGACAAGAACCTGAACATGTCTATGGAAGATCAGGAAGATGAAAACAAAGTGACCCACAAGCAGAACAAGTCCAGCTCAGAAAGCTTTCTTTTCCAGCTGGTCCAGAATGGCCTGGATTCTCTGTACAGCCTCCTTTCGGGCTTGCCGGACACTCTCCTGTCCCTGAGTCTCCACAGAGTCTAGCACCAGCAGCTCTTTGGTAAGCAGTTCCTCCAGACAACGATAACTCTTGTCTGTTTTTTTGCCAACAAACTCATCAACGTCTTCCTGAAGCAGCAGTACTCTGGCCATGACCTGCTGGACCTTAGCCAGACTGGGGTTATCGCTCAGGGGCTGAGGTGCAGCCTGACTTGGAGTTGATGCTGGAACCGAAGGCGGGGCCTCAGCTTGCGACGCATTAGGATCACCTCTCCCAGTTTTATACATTTGTGGAGGAGAACTTATTTCAGTAGGATTACCACTGGGGGGATTCGGGGATGGTGCTGGCTTCGGTTTAGGTCCCACCGGTGGGGCGCGTTGGTGCTGTTGGTCCTACAGTAACACAAGAGTTTGAAAAATATTGTGTTTTAAAAGTTTGATAATATAAGGCTGTAAACTGACTCAAATAAATATACCTTAGCAAAGATTTGGTATTTAATTTTTAGAAAATCTAATCCCTCCAAAAACAGATGCTATCCACCCAGAATAGATGCGCGATTACAGAAAACAAAGTGCAATGGCTGTTCTAGTTTTACAGTTCATCATGACAGTTGTAATACATTGTGTGCACATCTGTGTTTCACAAAAAAACAAAACAAAATCTCTTAAGATGCTTACCTTGGGCTGGTACGGTGGAGGAGCACCTGTTCCAGTTCCTGGCCACGCTGGAGGATGTGGTGGACGGACTGGATTCCCATAATGGTTTTGTGGAGGCTGTTGCCCCGGCGGCCATGGCTGCTGTGAGGGTACATATGGACCAGAGTGTCCCCATGCGTCAGCCTGCTGGCTGGGATGAAGTGACTGGCCAGTTGGGTATGGGGGATTTGGAGGCAACGCATGGCCACTATCATTGTAGTGAGGGTACGGTCCGGGAGGATATCCAGGACCCTGAGAGCAGAAGACAAATGTCTCACATTCAGAAAACGTTTCTTTTGCGTTTAAAAAAAGGCATCTGTTTTTAGATTAAAAAAATAAATAAATAAAAATAAAATTACAGTGTATAATATACCTCATTTGTAAGACTTTATTTAAACTATTGTTATATTTGAAAACTGTGTGCGCTTAAATGCACCAACCCCTTGGCAGTGTGGCCCAGGGTAGTGATGATGCTGGTGTTGAGAATGAGGCTGTCCAGAAGACCCACTGCTTTGCTCTGCATGGCAGCCTTGGTTAGGATAAGAACCCGGAGCCGGTCTTTGAGGGTCAGCACAGTAGAAAGGGTTGGATGGGTGGAAACCACTTGTTGAATACTGACTCTGTGCTGGACTGTAGACTCCATGGCCGTTTGGATAACCACCAGGCATTACCTATGTGAAAGACACAAGAAGGGGAACTAGTTATTTAAAATAAAAAGTATAAATCCATCAGAGATACAACAACTTTGACAAGATAGATGTTAATATGAAAATGTAAGCATAAATCCACTAACCCAACCTTAGAGTTAGAGGTACTGGTTATGCTGCATCTGTATAGCCATACCTGTGGATTGTACTGTGGTTGAACATCTGATCCAGAGGGATAGGTATTTGCATAGTGCCCTGTGGAATGAGACTGAGGATACCAGTAGTGTGGAGGGTAGCCTGGATACTGAGGAGCATCCTGCAAATACAGTCACAAAGCATGGTTGGCACCAGAGTACTTACAAATAGACATTGGTATGACACAAAACTTTAAAACTACGCCTTCAACGTCACAACCAATCCCAGGACAAACAATAACTGTGCAAACAGGGACATTGATTCATCTGCCTGCGGAACCAGTTATGCAAAATCCTTAAGAAAAACTAACCGGAAATAAAAGGGCCCAACATGTCACAAGAAAGACACGAAATACTGACTCATTCTTTCAAACACGTGGAGTCTTATTAACAGTGGCGTCACGTCAAGATTAACGTAAAAGTCCCGGAAAACAGCTGAACTCTGTCCTTAGCCGTTACTATTACATAATGCTAGTTAGCTCAGTTAGCCACGCAGCTAGCATAGACAGGGCTTTGTGCGAGCTGGCTGAAAATGATCTCGGCCACAAATTCACGCTTTTCTTTAAGGTTTAAAGACACTAAAAGAGTGTGAATACCACGAGAATATGTCTGAGCTGTGTCCACTTACTTACCATACTGTTATTCCAGTTCCCGTGATTATTTCCGGAGTTGCAAGTCGAGGGCCAGCCGGGTTTCAGATTGGACTGCATTTGATAATGATGATGCTTGGACTAAGCGCTCTTACCAGCAGCCGCCCTGTCATCTATCATTGTGGGGGGGGAAACAAATCTGCAGCGAGCCTCGCGTTACTTATCGGATGTGTCAGGTCGTCTGAAACGCCAGCAGCAATGTTGTCGTTTTCCTATACAAGTGCGGACCCCTCGGTTGAAGTCGGGAAACGACTGAATGACGTGAGCGCCCCCGTGCTGCGCCTTTAATAGCGAGGCGCTGCTAAACCTACAGAGGTCTCACTCCGTCAGATTTTTTCTGGCACAACCAACGTTTGGACGGAGAAAGTAACGCCAGAGTCTACCATCATTACACTAGCTATAAATTTATGATATGATTTTAAGACGTTAAACGTCTATTTTCTGGGCGTATTTCAACAAAAATATACATGTATTTACATAATGTACGGCGTTTTGAATTGTTCCGGCTCTGTGACCAATATTGTGTAAATACGATCTTTGCCGACGCATGCGCGCCAGTAGACGTTATTGGCCAATGGGGGGAAAGGTCATAAAAATAACATTTTAAAAACATTAACTGCTATTTTAATCTTCAAAACCCACCGATGCCTGAAGTTATATTTATTTAAAGATGTATTTTTTAAAGGGCCGTTCCTGCGTGTTAGAAATGTAGTGAATCGCCAGCACACGAAGGGTTAAATGCTTACAGGAAGTTCATCCCTGGCGTGTATAAAGACGCTTCCTGTGCTAATTTTGTGAGAAACATGTATTGAAACATTAATGGCTTGACGGTATATACAGATATAAGACTCAAATAAGAAGAAGAAGAAGCAGCAGCAGCACAAGATGAACTACGTACCAGGGACGGCAAGCCTCATTGACGACATCGATAGTAAGTTGGAGGAGTGATTTGATGGAGCTGATTTGGTTTAAAAAGAAACAATCGTTTCAAGATGTGCAGCATCGTGTCCGACGCAATCTGGATCATCTGCAGCGAGTTTAAACTGCCATTTAACGTGCTCCTCTTGTTTGTATCCCACAGAGAAGCACCTGGTGCTGCTCCGAGATGGAAGAACATTGATTGGTTACCTGAGAAGCATTGATCAGTTTGGTAAAACTCTTAATTATATCCACCTTTAGTATTGTTTTTCTGAGTCGGGTCACTGCATTGGTTACAGCAGGCTCAGTTTATCTGTCATTATGATTCCCATGATCGGGTCTGTTCTTTATTTACCCCGGTTCTTTTGTCCTCCAGCCAATTTAGTTTTTCACCAGACAGTTGAGCGCATCCACGTGGGAAAAAAGTTTGGTGACATCCCCAGAGGAATATTCATCGTGAGAGGAGAAAATGTGGTGCTGCTTGGAGAGATAGTAAGTAGACATAATCTCGTTTTCACTTTGGTTTTTGAAATGGTCAGAAGGATGCAAAGTAAGGCTCAGTAGACATTGTTACTTACATTTCCTTATGTCCTTCACACACTGCATTGATACAGTTGTGAGAGTAGGGGTTGACATAAATGGTGGCTAAGGGTCCTCGGGCTAGAGCCTATCCCAGTTGACACAGATTGAGATCTGGCCTTTCTCACAGAGACACGCGCAGCCATTCGTGGGCCAATTTAGAATCACCGATTAACCTAACATGCTTATCTTTGGACTGTGATAGGAAGCCAGAGAACCCTCACCAGTCTTTCTGGTACAAACAGATGCCAGAAAGACTGGTGGGCTCAAACTCCTTCCTAAGAGACAACAGTGCAAGCTGCTGATGCATCCTTAACATCCGACTCTCCTTAATCATGCTTGTCTGATGTACGTCAACAGCCAAGTTGACGCATTACAGGGTCACTGCTGTGACACAGGACCTTCAAGGCCAGTACACTGAGCAGAAGTGATTCATGAACTCTTCTTGCGCTGTTATTCCTACCTAATGCTTGACAGCAGTACTCTGCTGTTAAAGGGATCCACATCATGCTGTAACAGTACAGCATGTCATGATGTAAAACTGCTTCAGTCATAGCAGAGGCTCGACAGCACCTGTACTCTGATCTGCTTTTCAGTGCTTTAGAAGATGTTGCTGCCTTTTGTGACATTTGCCTGATGATTAGGTTCATTTGATTGTTAATTTATTTCTGTTCTGAAATGCTGATGGAAATGGAACGGCAGTGATTAACTACTTGGTGCCTTTTGGTGAGCTTGCATCTGGCAAACGATGACCGTAAGCTGACATCAAATCCTGTGTCACATCAGAAATGATATTGACGCACAAAAAGGCACATAGTCTCAGCATACGACATCTTCTGCACGCATTAATTTATGTATAGTTTTAAGAAAATGTTTGTCAAGCATGAATAAATAGCATTTCTGTTCATGCTGCTTATTATCAGAAAGCAGTTTGTGATTGATGGTTGGCATGAACCATGCAGTCTTCTTGAAGATTTGCAGATGTTTCATGCCTTTAGTTCTAGGAAGTGGCAGGTGTGCAACCTGTCCTCCTTAACTGGAAAAAGGAAATGGCTTTTGGAGAAGTCATTAGCACAGAGGTTCACTTTATTCTTCTACATTATTTGTGTTTGATAAAGACACTTGTTTGCTTCATTAGTGTAATCAGATTGTTTGTCAATAATCAAATTTTTGATCAGGTATTTTATTAGTAACAATTCAAAGTTCCAGAACACCCAGTAATTCCAATTAAAATGTGTTCAGTAGTATTATCTGAGTGTTTCAGGCCTGTGCAAGATGTGACACGGTCTCTTGTCTTTGCAGGACATGGATAAGCCCTGTGACACGGTGCTGCAGCAAGTCTCCATTGAAGAGATCTTGGAGGAGCAGCGGCTGCAGCAGCAAGCCAAACAGGAGACGGAGAAAGTCAAAATGCAGGTCCTGAAGGACCGAGGCCTGTCCATACCCAAAGCTGACAACCTAGATGAATACTAGCAGCCTAGTTGCCGTGGGCCTCTTTCTCAGTTGGCATTGAACTGACAAGTTTGAAGTTGAACCTGAGAGCGCATGGGAGCCTGACTTTTTGTTTTTAAGTGGGGAGAACATACCATTATATGGAGTCCAGCTACTGTGATGTACTGTATCAATTTAATTTGAGGTTTGTAAGGGGGGGTGTCAAGTCAAGAAAACTTTTTTTTTTTTTTCTCTGAAATCACTATGTTGACAATTAAGAATCAATAGCACTTTGTATTCTTTCATCATGTGGTGAATGTTTAAATAATGTGGAACTGCTATTGAGAGGGGGGGGGGAAGACTATGTGCTTTGCCCCATTAAAGAGTTTAATTTTTCATGATGGAAGCTCTACTTGGGTGGGAGGGGTGTCATGCATTAAAGGGATGTGAAGCTCATCACTTTGGGTCAATCAGGGCCCGCTGCCCTCTTTTATGATGGCGCCACAGACACCACTAAGCAGATCACGTTAGCCGCTGCAATGTGACATCAAACCGGGCACTTGTGCATTTGTTATGTGGGGAAATGCCATAATTCATTGTGGTAATTGCACTTAGGCAGGCGGCATATCGGTGCATCAGGCTGCCCCACGTCCTGTTTATATAAATGAGAGCCCGTCCGCACACTGAGAAATCGATCCTATCTGCCTTCAGCGGTCAATAAGCTTGTTAATCGTTTTGACTGATCCATCGTGGCTTCTGTGAAACGGGGCAGCCGCGGGATTGTACTCGCTCCTAAACGAGTTATCCTCGTGCCACATGATTAAGCACTTCCGGTGGCAGTTTAATGTATTTTTCTTCCTTTCGTTTTATTTTATACTATGAACCCAGAGCCTGACAGCCTGCAAGCCATAAAGAAAGTTTCCACATATCAAGTCTTATTATATAAAGTGCAGTTTCCGGTGAAACTTCAGCGTAAAGTGCTTGTCTTCAGGAGGAGGGCAGAGGACCCCACATGAAGGTTTGTCGGTAACGTTAATCTCGAAGCAAACGCTACAGTGGACACTGGGACTGACTCGACCTGATTTCTTCACTAGATCTTTTTTTTTCTTTATACACTCCTGCCTCCATTTCACCAGCAAACACTCATAAAGTTGTAAAAACACAATAATACAGCAACAGCGCGCTTATGATGATGTAAACAACTTTTTTTTAAATCTGAAGAAGCGAGTCATTTGTAAGAAATGAACAGAGCTGTATAAGTTAACGGTTTGAATAATATTTCCTGAATATGTCCTGTCGGACATTGCTTTAAAATCTTTGACAGATTTTTTTATTATTTTAAGGCCAATTTGAGATTTAAAATTGGCCTTTTTGGTTTATTTTGGAGCAGTAAATGGCAGTGTATTTTCCAGAAGCTCATCTGTGGAGATGTTTAGAGAGCATTACAGTTTAATTACAAAGATAGCCCTTCTAAAATGTGGATTTGCTCCTTGCTGTCATAAATCCTTTGAGAATCCTTACCTTACAAAATTACTGGATTCCTCGCGAAACGGCCAATCACCTGGCATTCAGTCGTTATGTATTTATATATTTTCAAAGGTGAAATGCTTGTTTAGCATTGTTGATTCGCGAAAGTGATCCATAACGTTATGCACACCAGTTCTCGTATGTAGTTTAAAATTGAACACCAGAGGGCGACTTTACCTCTTACCCTTTTAATCTTTACTGCCACTACAGTCGGAGCACCTGTGCTTGCGTTACTGGGACAGAAATGGAATCACTTTGGCGGAAAGAAGCTCACTAGTTGTAGAAACTCTTGGGTATGAGATTCATGGCTACTCGAGGTGAAACGTGCGGGACCAAATAAAATGTGAATGTAGAATTCACAAAAAGCATTTTATAAAATGTGTCGCTTCCTCCAGCGAGCCAGGCAGTTGTAGTGTGCTTTTATTTTGCAGACATCGTGGCCTAACTTCTGGTAGAGGCTCACTGTGTGACGCCGCTTAACTGAGAGGCCCAGCCTATTTTGATTACGTACCAACAGGGGAGGAGGGGGCCCGCTGATGTCCTCTCTCGTGCACTCAGCCAACCCCTGCTGCTGCTGTTGTAAGGTAAAGCTGGCGGTATCCTAGTGTACCCTTGTTAAGGATCCGCCGCCGAAAGAACCCGGTTTGCAGACATCGGATCTTCCAGAAATAATTATTTTATGCGTCGGGGAGATTTCCTACCCAAATTACGCATGGAATGGTTTTGGGGGGATTGGAGTAGAAATGCAGCGCCGCACTTCCAGCCCACAACAAGAACCATGCCCAGCTTACACTGCAAGCAAATTTATGACATCCTGTTTTATCCTTTACGACTTTGATATGAGTGAATTTTACTTGGATAGTCACCAGGAGTGAAGAAAAAGAAACGCATCGCACAGAGCTGAAGGACGCTGTATTCGCCGCAGACGTTTGTGTGCCGAGAAACCTCTACGTTTAGGATTTTTTTTCTTTTTCTCTTTTTTTTTCTTTTTGATGGAGCTGGAGAACATAGTAGCCAACACTGTACTGCTAAAAGCCAGAGAGGGTAAGTTGACACAAATAGTAAGCGGGCCTGCTTTTGTCATATTTTGAGCTGTGCAGAAAAAAAATAATCGTAAGGATGACGGCAGCCTGCAGACTGTGTGGCTCATTACGGCAGGTAAATCCTAAAGATGCAACAGAAAAAAAATCGGGAGGGGGTGCTGTGCAGACAGTGCAGACAACATCAACGGAACACCGCGAAACTGCTCGTCTTGTAATCAGTGATAGACTCGAGTCAACCAAAATCCTTGCACATTTTGACAGATTGTATGCCCCCCCCCCCACCCCCCCATTAAATATATATATAAAAATATATATATGTTGGGGGACGGGGGCGGCAGGGGAGGGAGGATGGGAGGGTGGTCTGCCTCCCACATCCGCTTTCGTTGTCTGTGCATATGAAAGCGGCTCTTTCGCAACGTTATGCATGCTGGAGCAAACACTGACACGGGGAATAACTCCTTTCTAGAGGGGGAATAAAATGAGCTTAGGCTGTCTGACATTTGAAAGGTGATCCGATGACGTGACTGGTGTTGAAATCTGTGTAAAGGGCCCCTGCGGAGAGACGGACTCTGCTTATCTGTGTAGAAAGAGTCAAATGTCTGAAAAGGCCAGTTGCAGCCCGACAGCACGGTCTGAAATATGAAGGCGCACGGTGTCATTAATAGTTCATTCTGAGGAAGACAGGGTTGCGCTGAGGGCACGAGGAAGGCCTGGAGGTAAACGCCGCGCACTGTGTGATGCATTGACCGTTTTGGTCGTTGGGATCATGTGGGCACTTTTATTTCAGGTTTGGGGCCTGTGGGAAGTTACAAAACAAAATTCATTAGGTTTCGCCTCATAAGCCAAAATTAGGGAGTGTTTTGGTTGTGCAGCTTTAAACAGCAAGATAAATCCTGAGAGAAATAGCCATCCTTTTCCCTTATTCAGTCTGGGTGATGTCCAGAAACTTAAACAAAATGAAAACAGATTACATTTTGTCCTGAGTGTACCTGGGTCCCTTTGGGATGCCCTTTGAACTCTCCTCAGTAATCCCAAACCTGTTTTCAATCAGCAGGGTTTAAAAACCACCACTCACACTCATCCCACTTTATTGTCATGATTATTCTTTTTTGTTTTGTTTTGTTTTTTGGAACTGGTTGCAACAGTTTTCTGTCTTTCTGTAAATGCATCAAATCTTTTGCTTCAGTTTAAAATGACTCGGTGTATGTACAAGTGCAAGTGTACACAGGTCCGGTTGCAGGGAAGCTCATAGTTTGATGTGGCAAAAGCCTCTGCAGAGTTGCAAGATGACGCAGGAAAAGACTTTGGTTCTCTCGCAGCTCCTTCCACGCGTGTTACAACGTTGGCACGTTTTTAAAATAAATGGGCTTCCTGCACATAGAGCTGGAAGTGTTTCATAGGCACTAATAGAGTAATAAAATGAACCAGGATGGCGACATGCTGTCAAAATCCACACGAAGAATGCCTTCGCCCGTGGGTTGGACTGGACGTTTGTTTTATGGCAGCAGAACACGACTGGGCTGAGTGAATCAAGCTTCATGAATTAATAAGAGCAGTTAATGACCCATGACAGATCTCGCTTGTCCCAGCTGCTCCAATGGTGTGCATCTGCCCTGACTGTGTGTGCGCGTGTGTGTGGAGGAGAGAATAAGGCCTTATACAATTATTGGATGAGATGGATCTTTGAGTTAATAGCTGAAGCACGACTTTCTCAGCAGCTTGATCAATGCCTCTATAAATGTAGCTGTGTGGGACTGATTCAACAGTTGAATTGGAGTGTGCAGTGCACACACTGAACAATTTCACAGGTTGCAATATTGGTTGTATCCTCTAATGGTCTAAATCATTAGAGGTTTTGTATTACGTGATGCAGTGCCAAAGGCTATGCACATCCATGTCTGCTGCTGTTAATGCTGCTGCTTTCTGTGCATGCATACATTTAAGCAAGGCACTGTACTGTACACACAGAGACTCATTTTAGATCATGCACTAGCAACAGCCGAGAGAATGCGAGTGGAGCAAAGTGAAGAGTGTTTTTTCCTGTTTGTTTATGCGAGCATATCTCCAGCCATGCCTGAACTGAGAGGCAAGCATCCTCTGTCTAAACTTCTCCAGCTACGGACAACAGGAAGGCCCAGTTTACACTGCAGTCTTTGGCTTGTTTATGCCAGCATCCTCACACCTCCCAGATCAGTAAAACTGTGCAAGTTGGAGAAAAGAGGAGAAATAAGAAAGCTATTGATATCCCCGGGCCAAGAGTGGCAAAACAGGCCTCGTGCCAGCCTCTGGTTGCTCTTTGACTATTCAGTGTCAGCGATGGCTGCTCTGACGGTGCTGGTCTGGCATTTGCCGCCAAGTTTGGTGAAAGCTCATCGTCGCTTATGAGTATTCAGAGATAATTTTGAGATTAGTAATTAGCTGGAAGATTGGAAACACTTTAGAAATGGAGGATTTCTAATCAAAAGAGTGCTCCGTTTAATCACAGTAAAAAACCTAACTTGATTTCCACAAGAAGAATTTTTTTTCTTTTTTTTAAAGAGAGGGGCTCTGACCATATTGGACCATTTTGTTAAGTGACCGCTGTCTTACATAAAGCTCAGTGGTATAATACGCTATCAGTTTGATGCAGCCCATAAGCTATTTAATCAAATTGATTGTTACATAACAAACTGAGTGGGCTACTGCCATCCGAGCTCCATCTTCCTGTAGAGCTCCTCTCCGGTCTCTGCGGAAGATACTTTATGGATGATGAGTATGCGGTGAAATGAAACACTTCGATGGTCATCTGAGTATCATCTGACAGCGACAGCACTGCTTACTGTGTCAGAGCAGCAGGGGGAAACGCTGGTGCGCTGGCCTTAAAAGCTGTGATGTCTGTGTGAGTTTGTCAGCTGAGGAAATTGGGGCTTTACAACAGATCAAAAAGATCAAAGGCACTTAGGCCTGACAGGGCTCTTTGTTTCAGTGGGATCTGTTACACTGTGGCCTTTAATGTTATACATATAGCTGACATCCAGTCAGAGCGAGCGAGCAGGTATAATATCAGAACATACTGTAGATTTATGTGTGCGATAGCCGATGAGGGGTGTGGGGCAAATTCCTTTGTTTAAATGTAACCTGAACTTAGCCACTGTGACGCGAGCAGCATCGGTGCAGTAGACCCTTTGCTTATTGTGTGTGTGTGTGTTCACAAGCCTCTGTCTGACTCCCTCCCCATTCACAACTCTTGCTGGCAGCAGTCGCAGATTCCAAGCCAGGCGAGTGAACGTCATCGGTTGTTTAAGTGAATGAGAGCAGGGGAAAAACTGCATTGCTGCATCCAGATGCCTTTCTTGAATTGTGGTAACAGAGCCCGGGCATTTAGTTTGGGCGACTAGACAGAATTCCACTCCGCTGCCTGTGGGCTTTCTCATTCGAGCTGCAGCGTTTTTTGAATGTTGTAGTTACATAAGTAAAACTCCTGTTATATAAAAAATAAAAGCAGCTGAGGTGCTGTGGACGACTAAAAGTGATAGAAATACAGCAGGCGAGGATTTATTATTTAATCATCACTGAACTGAATTCTCAGTAAGCCTCCTTTCTGTAGCCTCTTAATTGAACTGGTAAATGTTTTGTATTGTTATGAAGTTACCATTGGTAATAACTGAGGAACAGCTACTACGTAAACCCAGAGAAACTACAGCTGAAATATGAAGAAAAACTCATTTCTTTACCGACCCAACTGCAGTAAAAACAAGCCCCAGTTTTTCCACGACATTACTTGACTTTTACAATAAATTCATGTGTGATCTCATGCATGCTGTGGTGCAAGTTCATGCTGGTTGCATAGAAAAGGGGACAGTCTATCACCATCTGAGACAAGACAGCGAAGTAATACCATGGAAAACTTTTACAGTCCAGTTTCAGCTTAGTCACTAGGTAGATTGTCATCTTTTTACTGAGTTACTTTGTTGTGGTTAAATAGGCGATGGCATGTTTTATTGCAAAGGTTATGAACATGATAATAGTGCAAGCAATTGCACAGTTTCAGGTTACTGGTAACTTTTCGAAACGTTACCCAAACGAGGTGTATGTACATATGCAAACGCACATTAAACACGGCTAGTAAGCGCTTGTCATTCTGCTGAGACGGCTTCCTCGCATAACTAAAACAGGTTATTATAGTAGTGAGAGGGCAGCCATTGAGGGCAGCATAGGGGTGCAGTGGTTAGCAATGTCACCTCTCTCCAAGACAGGTTCTGGTTTGAAACTGTCGGCCAGCTGGGAGCTTTCTGTGTGGAGTTTACATGTTCTCCCATATGCCTGTGTGGGTTCTCTGGGTACTCTGGCTTCCTCCCGCTGTTGAGAGACACGCTTGTTAGGTTAACAGGCCATTCTCAATTGGCTGCAGGTGTGGATGTGAGAGAGTGTGTTGTCGTTTGTCGGTGTTAGGCCTGTGATGGACTGGTGTGTGATTGTGGTGTACTGTGCCTCTTGCCCAGTGTCAGCTGGGATAGGCTCCAGCCCCCTCCCACGACCCTACTTTGATAAGCAGGTTAAAATAGATCATGCTTGTGCATAAGTGAGTAGACAAACATGATTCACCTCAAATTTTCTAGATTTCACGTGTGAAAACAGCTTTACTGAGTAGATTGCGAAACAGTCCCGGGGACCTACTGCCGGTAACACAAAACTTCCTGAAGAGTGTTACCAGATGTGCTGATGTTATTTTTCAACCTAAGTATAAAAAAAGTCCCTTGTCAAAAATGTAAATGTTTGAAACGTTTTTGTAAGGAAGTATAACCATGAAAAACAACATAACAAAAAAGCAGTTCATTGGAATGTACTGTTTTCATTCCTAGATAGTACACAGTTAAATTTGGGTTGGACAAAATTTGGATATTTACAACTGTAATTCGAATGGACGTCTGTCAGAGGACCTCCTTTTTTACACAGTACCTAATTATACATGACTTATTACAAAGCAAACACAGTCACAAATACATCATAGTTAAAGTTAGT